AACAATTTAAAAACAGGAGCTAAATAGAGCCCAGAAATATCCGCAGGTGCACACCACTCACCCGTAACCTCCTTCAGTTCTCTCCCTCTCCCCACAATACAAACATGCTCTAGTCTAGCCCATCTTAAAATCAAATCAGATCCATATTTGACCCCTCTCTAACTTCATCTACCCCACACAGGAATAGTAGACAGCATGAAGTCCTCTACGCCAGTTCCTTTTTAGGCTACTTTCAAACTGGCTTCTAACACTTCCCTCCTCCCTTGAAGTCTCAAAGCCTTCAATCTCTTCCTAGCTCAACTCAAAGCCATTTTCTCCACCTTTGTCCTTCCTACTCCTTCAATATAGTCAGCCAGACTCCTTTTCAAATGTTATCCCATCATGATTTTCATAACTCAGCCCTTTCCAGATTCTCTTCTCCTACAGCGTCATCAATGCTTAATTCCTAAAGGAACGTCTTCACCCTTGCTTTTCTTTGCAGGGTCTCTGAAGGCTTCTGTCTCCCTCTTCCTCCTCTACACCTAGTCTCTGGGCAAGTCTCATTTCACAATACAAGCTACTCAAAGTGAAATTGGACATCTCAGATGCCAAGAGCAGGCACAAGGACTGCAGTCAATTATCTTCCAAATATTAAGATTAGAAAATAGTAGTTATCTCCTTCTCTTCCTTTCTTTGCTACTATCTCTACTGAACTTCAGGTACCCCCTTCAACAACCTAGTCCAACTCACAATAAGTAGAGTAGTGGTGCATCTCTCACTGCACACAAACTTTATTAACAGTTTTGTTTTTCTTTTTTGTCCACAACCTCCTTCACCCTTCCAGATGATTAAATCCATTTTTAAAGTAAATCTGCACCACCTTTTTATATTTAAAAGTGTTGTCTGTGTTCTACTGATCCTAATTTCATCCCTTAGAGCAGGGGTTTTCAACCAGGGATACAGGTACTCCTGGCGGTATTTTGGAAGGCCCCAAGGGGTACGGGGCAGCAATGTGGAGAAGCCACTGGCACTTCTGGTTTTGCAGCTGTAAGGCATGTGGGGGGGATCATCCTGCTTGTCAACCAGCCACCAAGGGACACCCCCCTGCTTCAACCAGCTGCTGGGGGTACCTCAACCAAAGAAGGTTGAAAACCTCTGCCTTAGAAAGATCTATTTAAAATCAAAACAAATGAAAAAGCCCCTCAGACACGTGCCTTTGTTTGGAGCTTTTAATGTCCCATTCATTGGCAGCATTCCCTTCTGCACCTCTTACTTATTTACTGCATACACAACAGTCAACAGAAAGTGAGGGTGTTACTTTGTATTTGGCTAAAGTTGACTTTGAAACAAGATAGCAAGGCACAGACTAAAAAGATACAACAGCTAGAAATGATCCTCCATAACTGATTCAGAATTATAAATCACCCTCAAAATTATGCATTCCTCCAGTTTAAAACCACATCAAACATTAACAGGAATATTGTAAGTAAGTGAGACTTAAGTAGAGCTATAAAGCACTTTAACTGTCATTAAAAAGAAAGTTCCTGTTGTTACAGTAAGTGTCACTAAAATAAAGGCAGTAGCTCAAATTAGATGTTCCTTTCTATGCTTTTTATACCCATTTCTGCTCCCCACTCCTTAACTCAAATAGCTTGAATATGTTACTAAAAGAATTCGTTTACTTAAACTCCTGTAACCCCCTTTCAAGCATTTCTGAGTGCCATAGTCACTGATGAGTTGAGATGCATGTGACAGAGGCTGGGTTCTCCCCCACCCCTGACTATTTACAGAGGCATGAAAAAGATAAAGGCCACATTTTCAGAGCAGCAACATGCAGCTTTGGGTGCACAGTATTCAATTATGCTGAGCTCCTGCAGCTGGGTTAGAAATTACACAGACTTTGAGAAAGCCAATTGCTGCTTTGAGGGTGCGGCTGGATAGTTCAAACAAAAAACCTTGCAGGGATCACCAGGACTTACTTTTGGAGAATGAAAGGCGCATTTTAGTTTTCGTGTCTCTATCGCATGTGCCATTTCTTTCCATTCACTGGACATGTCATCACGATATGCCAAGGACACATCAAGCGTAATCTCTGCATTATCTTCTGCAAAAGTAAAGAAACAGTTGAATTTGTTATGGAAGGAAGGAGCATCAGACAGTTGGAGCAGAATCTAAATATTTAAAGCCACTGCAAGAAGAGGTGCTGATGTACCTATGGTGACAGAAATCCCTGCATTCAAACTCATATGTCAGAAACATCCTACTTTAGACGTTCACCTGCTTTCCAGCAGAGTTGTACAAGTCAGAGATGCCAAATCTTCATTGGTGTACTTGGTTTCCTTTTGTATGATTGCTACCTCAATGTGGGCTGTAAGGCACATATATATGCCCAGCACCCTGTATTAAGGCCCCAGGTAGCCAAGGAAATCAACGTTTACGTAACAAGTTAGAGCCACATTAGTCAGATATGGCCACAGGGGATCAAGGATAGGACCTGAGAGGAACTCTCCTCAACAAATTAGTAGAAGTTTTAAGTATAAAATAGCTCGAGTGAATGAATAGAAGCCTTGAAAAAGGCTACTCCCATAGTCCTAATTTTGACAAAGGAACCAGAATTTAGTCAACACTTGTTGACTTGGCAGACACCACCAAACACACAAAATATATCACGCAGAGAAGGACTGAAATCATGCCACTGGTGGGAGCTTTGTGAGTTGGTACACAAGCTTACACCTGATGTCCCCCGCCCCCCCCACCAGGCTCTCCTGTTCCTAAGCATGTCATACAGCAGAATTAAGAACTGGCCAAACATTAGAAAATGGCTTTGACAAGTTTTTCACAAGTGTCCATTGTTGAATATGAGAAAAAATGTTTGAGAGATTTTTTTCAATTAAAACGAGAAAAATCAAAGTAATTCACAGGAAGAAAAATAATTTCTTCATCAGCTCTAATCAAACTCCTCTGACTTCAAAGACAAAACGGTCCCTTGGACTACTGCTAATTAGTACTAGACAAGATAGCCTGCAAATTACTTATCATAAAACAGCACAGGCTATATGGGCCTTGATGGATGAAGTTTTTTTTTTTTTAATCAAGTCAGGAGGACATCCTTTGTGAAGTCTTGCATACATAATACTAATCCCATGCAGACTGACTGCAATCAGACTCTGAGAAGTTTTTTTTCTTTTTCTTTTTTTTAGAACTGCTGGAGAGCAGTTAGTTATTCCAGTTTCGGCTAGTTTTAACTTTATGGACACACCTAACTATATGTATTGCATACTAGTAAGAAGGGAGCTTTTATACCCCTGACTACTAATTTGACTATCCAAATGAAGAAAATGGATGTCCTTTGGCTGCTCATACTTGTGGAGATTAATGAATTTTAGAACTTTCTCCCCCCTACAGGTTTAGTAGTTAGAGGGGCAACATGGAGCAATGCCTTTATTCAGTTTTAGACCTGCCACCAGCTCACTACTGTAATACCAAGCATCACAGAACCAGGAGGGATGTGACAGACACCAGTATGATGACCTGGGGTTCCAGCATAGTCATATGTAGTTTTAATGTTCTCCAAAGACCACGGCCCTTGTACGGTAGTCCAAATATACACCTCATCCTATTCTGAATATGTCTGCAAC